GGGCAACAGTTCGCCGCTGAACCCCAACGCGCCGCAGATGCCAGTCGGCATGGCCAGCCAGACCGGCCGCGGCGCCAGCGTCGTGAGTACTTATTTACACATTATGGGGTTAAATTCATTTAAATGTATCAACATCAAACATATCAACTAAACACTTTACAAAAAATAACTAATAAAAAGCTTTAACAATATAGTTTTACATATTACAGCAACAAACTAACTGCTTTTTATTCAAAATCACGTAACGCTAAAACATTGATAATTTTAACAATAATGTCAAACTAAATATTCATATTAATATAATAATTTTGTAATATGAATTTTTATAATCTTAATTGATATTGCAATAATGTAGCTAAAAAAAATTAACAAATGCTTAGGACAGATAGGGTGCATTTTTTGTCGACACACTTGTATGAATGTTGTCTCTCCCATTCTCTTCAAAAGAATAGAGACGACAATGTTGTACAAATGTGACGTCATCAGTTTCAAGGTCATTTCAAATATCAGTAGAATGTAACTTGTGTCAGCAGGAGCGGCGGGCAAGCGTCGCCAAGCTAACTGGTCACGAGGCGTACGTCACCACAGTACGTGCCTATACTAACGCTCTGTCGCGCTCTCTCACTGATACTAGCGCTGTCTCACTCTAACGGACACAGATTACACTAAATATACTTGTGTTTATAACAATTTGATTGCTTTGGTATTCTTCTGATGCTTAAAATGCTTCAAAAGTGTTATTACTCATTCTAGTAAGAGAAACTAAAGGCCTTATTATACAATGTAATTTTTTTAATTACATATTTTTAAAATCAAATAAATTAAACCTGAACTAAGACTAAAGGGCATCCTAAAGGGCGAAGCAAATAATGAAAATTGATTGGGCTATTTTCAACCTTAATAAGTTTATTTTATATCGTTTTTGTATATTAAAGTGACAAATTTAAATGAAAGAGGATGTTAAAGCAGTTATTGATAAATAGTTTAACTTGAGCCGTCCGGCTGGTCATGTACAGTACAAAATAGGTATTCAGTGATAGAGTGCTGCGGGTCACGGGCAACTGGTGTTGGTCTTGTGTACGTGCTGGTGCGCGCTGACGCTTCTCGCGCTTTCTAATCTATGACGCATTTCTAATAAGAATGTGTGTGAATACTGTGACGTCATGCTAAATATCTACCAAATAATATAAAATACATATTTTAAACTATCTAGTGTTTTTTAAAACTATATTTTCGAGTTCAAATTATAAATTAATAGATTAATGATGCTTACATTCTTATTTGAAATGTACTATAACGTGGTGTCGTGATGAACTTGGAGATTGTGCGATATGCAACTTTACATGTCAGATCATCTTGTCAACAAAACACTTACCATTCATATATCATTTTTCTATTCTATTCTAGATAGTAAATGAAACCATTAAAATTACATTATAAATTAAATTGACTACGTATTTAATATGGTGGTAACACTAAAGATCAGTTATTTAAGTTCAATTACAGTATTTTGGGTTCATTTCTATTTTTAATATTATTTTTATTCGAAGATAAAACTTTTCTTAGTCACATCCTTATCATTTTAGTTATTGGTCTTTATTTATTGGTGTTAGTGGATTTATCAATGTTTATTATGAAATAGATGTAAAAAATTGTCTGTTGTGTGTGCGAGTGCGTAACGATTGGTGGTCGCAGGTAAAGGGTCTGCAGTTCCCGGGTTGCCACGACGCGAAATATTGTCGTCTGGTGCTGCATCGCTCCAAACTCCTCATGAAACCGGTCAGTTACACGCCCCGCCCACCTCCCACTGCCACGCCCCTGACCCATTGCACTCGCAAGGCTCGCTAGTGGTCATCTATTTTTTTTCTTTTTGTTTCAGTCTAGCGACTTTTTCTCTTTGAGTTCGCCGTCTGTCATTGGAGTTGTTGAGTTTAGTTGTTTTTATTTTGGACCAGTTTGCTCGCCGTTTATTTTTGTATCGTATCATCTCAGTATAGTCGCTTCTACTTGTTTTTCGTTCCAGTTTTGTTTTGTTATTTATTCATGTTTGATCGCTGTATAACTCATTACACGCCCTCGCCGTTTTTCTTTATTCTGCATTCTTTGTGTTTAGAAAATTTGTTTATGTTATTGTAACATTTTATAGTTTTGCAGTTACATGTTACTAATTTATCTGTTTATTCAGGTGCTGAAACATAAGATCGACAATATAAAGCGTATGGCTGCGCATCCTTCACAACCTTTGTGTAAGTTCTTTACAAACACCTTACTTGTAAATGTAAATGCGAAAGTTTACATGGATGGATAGATGTTTTTTAGAGTTTTAAGCCTTAACGAGTAAAATGATCTCTGAAATTTGCTATAGATGTAAAGAATAGTCTGGAAAAATGCACAGGCGACTCACTTTTTTTTTAAGTTTACTCGGACGAAGACGCGGGCTAGTTGTACTATTTGTACAACGTATTAAATGTATGGTATAGATTATGATGGTAAGGTTGGTCGCAGACTTGACGGGCGGCGCGGACGGATCAGTACAACTATGGGAGTGGGGTCACCCGTCGTGCGTGTGGTCGCCGCGAGCGCCGGGCGCCTTCGCCAAGGTGACGCGGGTGCGGTTCTCCGACTACGGGAACAAGTTCGCAGCGGCGGACGCGGACGGCAACCTCGCCATGTGGCAGCTGCACCCCGCGCCGCCGCACGCGCACCCGCCCGCACACAACGCGCACGGACAGCCCACCGCGCACGCCTCGCCTAGACCCTTCTTTGTGAGTGCATTGTTAACATAACTTACCATCTATAATAAAGAGGAAAGATTTGTATTTTTTTAATTTCGTATGTACTGAGAAAACTCAAATTCTACTAAACCGATATCAAAAATTCTTTCACCATTAACAGATACGTTGTCGCTGAGTAACATAGTATATATTTAACTATTTTCACGTAGACAAAGTCGAGAGTAATAGGTAGTAATGTTGAAAAGAGGAAAAATTTGTATGTATTGAGATAAGTAAAAACTACTGGTTCGATTTTAAAAACTCTTTCATAAATATATAACTACGTTATCACTAGTAACATAGGCTATATTATTTCCGCGCGAACTAAGTCGCTAGTGAAGATTGATTTTAATTTAAAACTGTTTTATTCCATTTAAGTTGATAGTTAATTGCATTTTACTAATAATGTTTTTTCTGTTCCAGACTCATCAATGTCATAGTAAAGGAATAAGCGATTTCGTTTTCCTCGGTTCCTGTAGTTTAGTTGCCACAGGTAAATTCATACTTTTTTTCTTAATTTATTTTTCTATTACAAGAAATAATAATTATCAATCTAATTTTGCAGCTGGCCACAGTTCGGAGAGCAAAAATGTCGCCATATGGGACACACTGATGCCGATCAAGAAAGCCCTCGTTGTTTGTAAGTAATGTTATTAGTTCGTCTTTATTAACATTAAGTGAACTTTAGATACCACAAAAAAATAAAAACCACATATAACAAAA